GTGTGGTTGCTGTGTGAGTGTGTGGGGCTGCATGGGCGGACTATGGGTTGCCGTGGAGGCTGCTCTATTTGAGCAACAGGGGGCCACGTACGACGTGGTCCACTGTCTGTGAGTCCGTAGTCCCGAGCAGACCCTGAGGTGACTCCACCCCTCGCAGGCATTACACTTGACTGAGGTGGAGTTGTGGTGTAAACGTCTTCGGCATACACAGCAGGTGTATATTTCTGGCCCAGGGTTTGACTCGATGCCAGCCCTGAGTAGGAGAATGCGTAGTGAATGCTGCCCTATGGACGGACAACTTCGGAGATACTTCGCCGACCTAAACGGGGTTAGATCGCCGAAACAACAGCCCTTGGTCGGGTGAAACCCGAGTCATTCCGGTACGTAGAACCGGCTGTCGTGGGACGTGTCGTGATGTGGGGTGTAAGTGAAGTGTATGTTCTTGCCGCCGTTGGCTGTGTGTGCTGCTGAGGTGATTGCCGCCCTGTGGTGGTGGTGGGGGGCGTCGCAATTGGAGTCTGCGACCGAGCAGCGCAACACGGGCCCTCGAAGTTCCCCGTCCAATCTCGCGTGGTACGCAGACCTGAGCATGCCCTAAAGTGGCACCAGCCAAGGCAGGTGTTGCACTTGACTGATGTCACATTTCGGAATATCCTGGTCTGACATACCGTGCAGATTGTAGGGGGAACCAGGAGTTGTTGGCGGCGGCGTGTGGGTGGTGGTGCGGTTGTGTGTGTTATGTGGTCTGTAGTGGCTGTGGTACGGTCTGTGGTGTTATTATGTTGTTGTGTTGTGGTGACTGTGTGTGGCTGCTGTGTGAGTGTGTGGGGCTGCTCGGGCGGACTATGGTTAGCCGTGAAGGCTGCTCTGTTTGAGCAACAGGGGGCCACGTACGAGAGAATCGAGACAGTCTCATTAAAACTCGGTCAGACTCCACAATGGGTCATATGACCCCAGAAATATGCTGGAAGGAGCGCTTGCACAAAGTGTTATTTCATTGTATCCTTACTTTGGACCTTTTGCAAAGTGTTGGTGGGTTTTTATGAAAACGAGTTATTCACAGCTAACTTTAAAACGGTTTGAAGCCAATGATGTGAATAAAGTTCTGGAAGTCATCAAATTACGAATATGACCTATTTAAGTCAAATCGAACAATACATGGTCTTTATTTAAAACAAAATTAGTAGAGCTGTGCGAGCCGTGGAAAAACATAAACTAAAGATAATTTAGTAGAGCAAGTTGACTACACAAGTCTCTAGAACGGGTGTTCAGAAAATTTTTATCATTATCAAAGAAATTGTCTCTTATTTATTTATGCAAGCAAAATATGACACTCTCGCGAACATGTATCTATAACGGAATGTTTTCTCTTTATTCTAACATATTAAATATTATTTTCTGAAAACCTATTAAAAAGATATAACCCATTTCATGCCTACCGATTTTGAGTGAACGATGCTTTAGGCACACAAACACCGGACATTGACGCACGGAGCTCCATCTGCCTCGGGAGTCCAGGACAACAATAGCCCAACTTTTTTTTTTTTTTTTTTTTTTTATTATTACGGTCTTTAAGACCTAATTCAAAGTAAATTCAGTGTTACATAAATATTACATATTCAACGTTTTGCAATATTAAAATAATTTTTCTTTAAACTTATTAATATTTTCAGTTTTTTATCTCGCTTGGTAATTCATTGTACATTTTATAACCTACGTATTGTAAGGACTTCTTTGCGAATTCCGTTCTTACTCTAGGCAGTCTTATATTTTGGCTACTTCTAGTTTCATAATCATGGATCTCATTATTATAATGTATTCTATCACTCAAGTAATTTGGTAACATTCCTAATTTTATATTATGTATAAATTTCAATGTGTAATAGGTAATTGATTGTTTTATACTAAGCCAATTTAACATATTTAGCATTGTATTCTTCGATGGTCGTGAAGTACATTTTAATATTAATCGCATTGCTTTGTTTTGCTGTATTTGTAGTCTCTTAATTTGTATATCGCTTGCTAACAGTATTATTGTTGGGCAGTAGATAAAGTGGGGTTCAATAATCGATCGATATACCAATATTTTGTAATGTTGATTAATATGTTTGCACGTTCTATACATAAAGCCTATTTTCTTTGCAATTATGTTTTCTAAGTAACATATATGTTCATCGATTATCACTCCCAAATACTTAATTTTATCTACTCTTTGAATTTCATAGTTTTTTATTTTCAGACTTATATCGCTTAAATCATTATTACTTATAATGTTGTGGTTCTTGCAAATCATCATATACTTAGTTTTATCTACGTTCAGTTTCAGCTTTCTATGGCATAACAATTTATACAAAGAATTTAAATCTTCTTGCATTTTCGTAATAGCACTATTTACATTTTTTCCACTAATGCTAACCAATGCGTCATCCGCAAACAGACGTATTTTACAATTTTTCAAACATGCTTTAATATCATTAATATAAATTATAAATAAGATTGGTGCCAATACTGAGCCTTGCGGTAGACCAATGTTTACATCAGTAACCGATGATACTGCATCTCCAATTATCGTCCTCTGCTTTCTGTTGCTCAAATAACTTCGAAACCATTCCAACGCTTTCCCTCTGATACCAATTTTATACATGACGCCCAGCAGTATATCTCTATCAACTGTTTCAAAAGCCCGCTTCAAGTCTAAAAACCCAGCCACCACCACCTTTTTGTCAGCTACATCATCTTTCCATTCCCCAATTACCATGTTCAGTGCTGTTTCACACGAATGACTCTTTCTGGACCCTGATTGTTCCGGTATGATTACATTTTGTTTTTCTAAGAATGCTACTAGTTGGTTTTTTACCACTGTTTCCATAATTTTTTCATCTGCGGGTATAGTGTTAATCGGGCGTAGTTCTTCTGGCTTCATTGTATTTTTAACTTTTTCCATCGGCACTATTGTTGATATCTTCCAGCAATTTGGAACAATGCTACTATTAAGAGATTCGTTTATAATGTCCTTATATAAGTGAGCAATATACATCATAGAGTCCTTGAAAACACCCTCGGACATCAGCTTTTTCCCACCATGTTTGTTTTTAAATGCGTTAGTGATGTCCATTATATCTTCTAGTTCGATGTCTACGAATTCAAATGTTGCTAGCGTGCTTTTTAGGCTTATTTCATCAACATCTGTAATTTTTTCAATACTGGATATATTCGAGTTGTAATTAATGCGGTAGTGTTACTTTTTATGAAGGAGCATCACGTTCTACGCGAAAATTTGGGCAACTCTGTCTACATCACGCGTTCGAGGAACAAAATTTTGACAATGAGTTGGTTATCATTGGCAAATCAAAAGCATTATACAAATTTTGACTACACAATTTCTGCAGCATATCATAATATTTTGAGTTGAGCATCAGCAACATGTCATCAAGAAAGCAACAAGGCTGCAATTTGAACTATGCTCTGCACGAAATAACCGTTTAATGCATTAGCTATATCGTGATTATTCTCAAAGCATTCACCTTTGAATATTATTTTTGTGTGATATATTCCCTTCTATTTGTCAGTTCAGCAGTATCTTTCAAACATTTCCACATCAATTTCATGTTTCCTTCATTTTTAAGTACTTGATTTTCCATATATTTCTTCTTTTTAAATATTATAGTTTTTTTATATAGTTTTTTAATAACATTATAATCATGCCATTGGCCTGTGCTTATCGCAATATTATAGGAGTNATTACTTATAATGTTGTGGTTCTTGCAAATCATCATATACTTAGTTTTATCTACGTTCAGTTTCAGCTTTCTATGGCATAACAATTTATACAAAGAATTTAAATCTTCTTGCATTTTCGTAATAGCACTATTTACATTTTTTCCACTAATGCTAACCAATGCGTCATCCGCAAACAGACGTATTTTACAATTTTTCAAACATGCTTTAATATCATTAATATAAATTATAAATAAGATTGGTGCCAATACTGAGCCTTGCGGTAGACCAATGTTTACATCAGTAACCGATGATACTGCATCTCCAATTATCGTCCTCTGCTTTCTGTTGCTCAAATAACTTCGAAACCATTCCAACGCTTTCCCTCTGATACCAATTTTATACATGACGCCCAGCAGTATATCTCTATCAACTGTTTCAAAAGCCCGCTTCAAGTCTAAAAACCCAGCCACCACCACCTTTTTGTCAGCTACATCATCTTTCCATTCCCCAATTACCATGTTCAGTGCTGTTTCACACGAATGACTCTTTCTGGACCCTGATTGTTCCGGTATGATTACATTTTGTTTTTCTAAGAATGCTACTAGTTGGTTTTTTACCACTGTTTCCATAATTTTTTCATCTGCGGGTATAGTGTTAATCGGGCGTAGTTCTTCTGGCTTCATTGTATTTTTAACTTTTTCCATCGGCACTATTGTTGATATCTTCCAGCAATTTGGAACAATGCTACTATTAAGAGATTCGTTTATAATGTCCTTATATAAGTGAGCAATATACATCATAGAGTCCTTGAAAACACCCTCGGACATCAGCTTTTTCCCACCATGTTTGTTTTTAAATGCGTTAGTGATGTCCATTATATCTTCTAGTTCGATGTCTACGAATTCAAATGTTGCTAGCGTGCTTTTTAGGCTTATTTCATCAACATCTGTAATTTTTTCAATACTGGATATATTCGAGTTGTAATTAATGCGGTAGTGTTACTTTTTATGAAGGAGCATCACGTTCTACGCGAAAATTTGGGCAACTCTGTCTACATCACGCGTTCGAGGAACAAAATTTTGACAATGAGTTGGTTATCATTGGCAAATCAAAAGCATTATACAAATTTTGACTACACAATTTCTGCAGCATATCATAATATTTTGAGTTGAGCATCAGCAACATGTCATCAAGAAAGCAACAAGGCTGCAATTTGAACTATGCTCTGCACGAAATAACCGTTTAATGCATTAGCTATATCGTGATTATTCTCAAAGCATTCACCTTTGAATATTATTTTTGTGTGATATATTCCCTTCTATTTGTCAGTTCAGCAGTATCTTTCAAACATTTCCACATCAATTTCATGTTTCCTTCATTTTTAAGTACTTGATTTTCCATATATTTCTTCTTTTTAAATATTATAGTTTTTTTATATAGTTTTTTAATAACATTATAATCATGCCATTGGCCTGTGCTTATCGCAATATTATAGGAGTAAAATTTTCTCTTGTTAAGTACTGCTAGCTCACGGTCATACCACTTATTTCTCAGCTGCTTATGGATTCTCTTCTCGTACGTCAGTGTTTGCATGGCTTCGGTCAGAATACCATTCAAAACCTGGACTCTATTTTCTATTTCAATATTAGACACGCGGCTAAAATCATACGCTCGCAACAGGTGTATAAGATTCTCAGCGCTATAGTGCTCCCAAGAGACGACAGTTACATATGTTCTCATTTTGAGATATTTTGTAGTTGGCACTTTAAAATAAATTGTCTCATGGTCGGATATCTTATATTCACTTCCACACTCCGTTTTGATTTGATCATTATTGCTGAATAATAAGTCAATTTTTGTGGCTGAGTACTGTGTTATTCTCGTGTTAAAACTAATTCTTTGTATCATTGCCATTTGCGCAAATAAACTTGTAAGCTGGTTTGAGTATGTTGACGATATATTCATGTTTAAGTTAAAGTCTCCGACTATTAGATTATTATCTGATTCTTTGAGGTATTCATTAATGAGCTCATTTAAATATATAACATAGTCAGCATCACTGCTACTTGGTGAACGGTAGAGCACACCAATTTGCCATTTCAATGCAAGAATGATAGAATACAAGATTGCGCCGATCAGAGAGGATTTTTGAGAATAACTTTTGTGTGACGTCACACTGGTGCAATTGCGAGAGAGAAATGCCAAAACGTGAGCAAGAATGGAAGAAGAAGAAAAAATGATGCAAAGGAAAACGTAAACAAGTTGCACCAGTGTGACGTCATGCGAACAACGATTCTGTCAAATTCGTTAAGAGAAAAATAGCGGTACCGAGATCGGCGCAACCTTTGTATTCTCTCAATCGTGATTTCAATGCACAATTTTTAATTTTTATAATGATACACCACATATTAGCATTAATAGCTTTATTGCAGACTATGTTAAATTCTATAGTTTCGTGTATATACATTAGCACTCCACCAGTGTGCCTACTGTGGGAATCGCAACGGATTAATTTGTATGTAGTAATGTTTAGCTCAGAGTCCATTATTTGATCTGTTGTGCACGTTTCAGAACATAATACAATGCCTGGTTTTTTGATTCGAGAATACCTTCTAGTTCAACTTTATTTGCTGTTATACTATTAATATTAAGATATATACACTCCAAGTTGCACCACTTGTCTTTTCGCTTCATATGTTTTAGTTGTTTGTCTTGCATTCGCAGGCTCTTTCATTGGTTGCTAGTAACCTATTTTTCTTTTCCTTGCATTTAGCTTCTGCTGATAGACAGGGCACATTCTGTCCATTGAATCATGATTAATATCTAGTCCCAGGTTTAGTTCTTTATTTGCCCTTATACAATTAATGCATTTATTTATTGCTGCCTCATTGCATTCTCTAGATTTATGCTCACCATGACATTTTGTGCATACTTCCTTTCCCTTGCAGTTAATCGACTTATGGTTGAAGCCTTTACATTTGAAACAACACAAGACCTGCACTGTATCATACGCTTTACAACGTTACCATCCTACATTGAGTCTTTCTTTAGCTAGTATATTCGCAAACACTTCTACATCCGCTTCTAGTACTGCATAATGCAGTGACCTGGTCTACGGAAAGAGGGCTTAGGTGTCAAAAAATCACTTCTCACTTTTTGGTTGATTCGGATGGAAGATGAGAAGCTTTTTCACGTGGTGAAAAGCAGAAAATCCTAACTTGCTTAGAAGTGTACTAAAAATACACATATGAATATACAAACAGTCGTGTCGTGTAGACGTGTTTTCGGTTCGCTCCTGTTTGTTTTCTTTTATTGCTTCAAAATGGACAATTCCTGTGGTAAATGCGGCAAAGCATTTTCAAGAAGTGACAATCTAATAGTGCCGTGCAGTGGCTTTTGTAAAAGGCGATTTCATCGCACCTGTTGCGAAACCATTGTGTCCGAATACGACATTAATTTGTTTCAACGGAACCGCCATATTGGTTATTTTTGTATTGAGTGTGTTAATATGCCTGAAAAACTTTGTAAGACGTATGATTCGATCATGGCCTCACAGAAACTTAACATTGACTTCTTAACGAGTGCCATTAATGCAAATTTCAAAATCTTTTCTGATAAAATTTATATATTGGCAAATGAAATTAAATCCAACATGCAATCTAGAAAAATCATAGACAACAACAATGCAAAATGCCTAGAAATGTTAGTTGCTGAGGTTAATACTCTCAAAAGTGCTGTTAATACACCTATTGCTACTGTGGACAATCTTAGCAATAACAATTGCCGTCCTTCAATTGTGGTCGTTCCGCCTTCACCCGAATTAACTTGGTCTCAATCTGCGAGTGTTGACGACCCGTCTACCACCGTTCCACCTGGATCGGCACAGAAAGCGAACAAATCAACTGCTGATGACTCTCACAGTACCAACGTCGCTAATGCTGATGCTGTTAACGCTGTACCTGCTGGCGATAAGAATGTTTTGTCACCGTTCGACGTTAATGCTAATGATTTGCCCGTGTTTTTTTCTCCGCTTTCTGCGCACTCTGCTGATACTGGGGGAGTTAATGCAGCTGCTCATGTTCATACTAATGATGTTGGTGCGGCGAACTCGACGCTGGCGAATCATCATGCACGTAATAATGCTGAAAACGGCGCTGCTAGTGTTATCAATACGAATGCAGATGTGACTACCAATGCTACTTATTACTCGGCTTGGTTAACAGCTGAGAACAGAAGGAATAAGAAAAGCAAAAAGCGTACTCGTGTGATGGGTTCTAATGTCTGTAATGAACTTGGTGTAGCTGCCCGTGTTAATGTTAAGTGGCTACATTTGTCATCATTCCTGCCAATAGTCTTACCTGGCAATATAATTGATTATGTGGCAAAATATGCCGGTATTGAAAAGCAACAGATTTCATGTTTCAAATTGGTAAAAAACGGGTCGGATACGAACTCGCTCACGCATATTAATTTTAAGCTTGGTGTCTGTGATCAACACTATGATAATCTGATGAAGCCAGAGTTTTGGCCTGTTAATGTATCTGTTCGGCCTTTCCGTTTTTTTCGCAAAGTGGAAAAACCAACACAACAGGAGTAGCTCTTATGACTCCTTCCCATGCACATAAACGTATTAGAATCTACTACCATAATACCTCTGGGCTTAGAAGTAAGTCAGATGTGGTACGTATGCTTAGCTCACATATGGATTTTGATGTTTTTGTGATAACTGAAACATGGCTGAACTCGAATTTCTTGAACGCAGAATTCTTTGATCCCAGTCTGTTTGATGTCTTCCGTAAGGATAGAGATGCTATCAAGACAGGTTGTAGCAGGGGAGGAGGTGTGCTGATTGCAGTTCGTGGCAGCCTTAGTGCGGTGCCAATTTCTTTACATGTTAGTGATACATTGCTGGACCAGTTATGTGTGTGTGTTCGTGGATCGCAGGGCTCAGTTTATATTTGCGCTTCTTATATTCCGCCGCAAAGTAGTGAAAACATCTATAGAGCGCACGTTGATAATGTGCTTACCATAGGCCGTACCGTGGGTGATAATCAGTTATGCGTTTTTGGGGACTTCAATTTACCTAATCTTAGTTGGTTACACTTGGGCAATGATTTATCTCTAACACCATCGAATATCTGTAACTCATGCGAGTCATATCTTATTGATAGTCTGCTTAGTTTAGGTTTGGTTCAAGTGAATAGCTTGCATAATAGCCTGCATCGCTTACTCGATTTAATTTTTGTTAGCTCTAACATAGATTTTAGTATTTCGCAACCTGCTTCTTCTATCTCTCCGCCGAACATGCATCACGTGCCTGTATTATTGGAGATGCAATTCACTGAATTTTTTGACTTACCTCCTACAAACGCTAAAACTACTTTCAATTTCGCTCGTTGCGATTTTAATCTCTTAGACTCAGCAATTAGTGAGTTTGATTGGCAAGTTCTGTTTGGCGACAACGAAGTAGCAGGTTGTTTTGACATCTTCAAGTCTAATATTGCAAAGCTGTGCACTGAATATGTTCCAACTTTCAATAGCAAAAATTTTAAGGTGCCATGGTCTTCTATTAAGCTAAGACGGCTAAAGAATTTGCGAAATAAGTTTCTTAAAAAATATAAGTCTACTAAGGAGCAGCGCTTTTATGACTTATTGGTGTCCTATAAAAATGAGTTCAATGAGCTAAACAAAGTGTTGTACAAAAGGTATATTCGGAACTATGAACTGGAGGTAAGGGATAATCCGAAAATGTTTTGGCGCTACATTAATTCCAAAAGAAAATCCTCAAGCACACCCAAAACAGTTTTTTATAAGGAATTCACAGCTACGTCAGTGAAACATGCGGCCGACTTGTTTGCTGATTTTTTTTCGTCTAATTTCGCTTCGGATGAAGATGTGTCCGACGATGATTTGGATTGTATTCAACGGGAACTTTCTTCTACCATGTCTTCTCCCGTTGACTTTGGCGCTCTCGTTCTTTCCGATGAGGACATAATTAAAGGGATAAGATACATAAAAAATTCCTCGCTCACTGATGCTGATGGTCTCTCAGCAATTATATTTAAGAGTTGTGATTCGCTTATCGTATTATGGGCCAAAAATAATAATGCTGAGTAGTTTATGTATTTTTCTTTGTTGTCGTTTTCCTTGAGATCTTTTTACGTGTTGATCCTGAGGAAGATGGACCTGGTTCCTCGTCTGGTTTGAGAACATCTTCACTAGTTTTTGCCTTCCGTTTCTTCGATGGCAAATCTTTCGGCAATGGAGCCACAATATCTACTTTAGATATATCCGAAACTAAGCTGCGAAGATTGTGATAGATGTACCACTGACGTTCCAAAGATAAACCGGCTGGTTGTATAACTTTCGGCCTTTCAGGATCGATAGGTTTTAACAGAAGCTTAAAGGACTGCACTTCTTCACTGTCTGCGAATTTCTTTGTTTTTACACAATCTGTAGAGATTATGAAATGATGGAAATGCGTTATTCCAACAAGTGACTTGTACAGTGGTTTAAAATAGCTGTCCCATTCATACCAGACGACTTTTTCAGCCGATACAGCTTTATTATAACCCCCAGGTGATGATGCCTCGACACACTGCAGTAAATCTGCATACGTGTCGATGTTACTGACGGCATACTTACTTTTGAAAATACCGAAGTAACGATCAGGCGCGATCTTAGGGACTTAGTATCACTAAATCAAGTTCATTTTTCGACATCTCTAAACAATTGTTCCGCGTACTCTCGATCATTTCCCGTGGTATCAGTGTATGGCATTCATTATTACAACAATCTTTTGACAGAAATTTTGTTACCAGCTCCTCCTCCTTTACATCAACAACATACAGGTCCATCTTAACAAAAGTTTGTTCGGTATCATCTTCTGCCTGAGATACACATACTTCGTCTTCATCATCATCGCTCTCTTCATAGTTTTCATCATCGTTTTCATCATCCTTTTCATGGAAATATTGTCCGTATACGGCACTGAACTCCTCATCAACACTCATGTTTCATTTCATGCGAAATGCGAAGACGATAATCAACAGAAACAGTAAACGTCACTTCTTCAGTGTTACTTTTTTAAATGTTCCACACTAGCAACTTACACGATGAACTATAATAATATTCCGACCAACAACAACACTTACTGGACCAACAACAACACTTACTGGACCAACAACAACACTTACTGGACGTCCGGCGCGGAGAACAATTAACGAGATAATGAGAAACTGACGAAACGAGTTGCTTACTTTTAACAGCTTTTTCACAGAAAACTAGTTTTCACACGTAAGCTCCCTTTTCGTAGACCAGGTCAACATTGTAGTAATTTTTACCATTTTTCTTTACTTCGTACTGCTTTAAAATTTTTATGTCAGTTTCGTTTAAACAGTTATTTTGCCGTTTGATTCTCTGAGCTATTTGTAATTTATACCAGTTACAAGGTCTGTTGGTTTCACTTTTGTAGGAATCTTTACTTCATATTTATTTCCAAGGTTATTTTCAATTGCATTTTTGATTTTTTCCCGTTCTTGCGCATTAGCACTTTCAACAATTACCACT